CCTGACCACTTCCAATCCTGACCAAATCTGCACCCCTTTGGAACATAAAAGGGGGTCTGTCCTGAGACAGACTCATTACTACTGAACAAGGCAGAATTCTATCTCATTTCTTTGGTTTTTATCCAAATGAGATGCGTGGAAGCTGTTTGTATACTCTGATTAATCTTATGCAAACTTGTCCTGCAACATCAGAATTTTAATTCTAAGTTAGAATTTCTTTTACTCAAGATACTGGCCTAATTGTGAAAAATAACCTCCCTTTTCTAATCATGACATAATTTAGAATCCACATTATTAAGCAAATGATAGAAAACTAGAGGTGTGATCAACGAGAATCATCTCATTTGCTCATTTGCTCATTGTTTCACTGATTTGTTGCAATCATCTTATCAAGACCTGGATGGGAGGGGGTATCTCAACCTGCTTCCACATAGCCAACCTACCAAAATGACTAAAGGAGTTCCATTTCTTCTGTAAAATTTGGAAGCTGATACTCAGGGCTTGATGAAGAAACCAGAAAGCAGTGTTTTTAACTCCTGCCCATACCAGTTGACCTTCATGATACTCAAGTGACAATTGTGTGTATTTCTTACACTGTTTTTGCTGGTTTTTTCCACAATAAATATGTACTTTAATTAAAAATAGTATAAACAAAAAATATATAATAAATATAATATAAAATACAATAAAATATAATAATAACAATGGAGTGTGAGAAGAAAACAGTTGCAATTTCTATAAAAACTAAATTGAATATTTTGGAAAAACTCTTAAGAACTAAAATGAATTAGTAAGGATTTAGATACGGATAAGACAATCATGAAGATTTGGAGTTGTTTTTTTTTTTTTTTAAGATTTGGAGATTTAAAAAATATTTTATTGGGGCGCCTGGGTGGCTCAGTGGGTTAAAGCCTCTGCCTTCGGCTCGGGTCATGGTCTCGGGGTCCTGGGATGGAGTCCCACATTGGGCTCTCTGCTCAGTGGGGAGCCTGCTTCCTCCTCTCTCTCTACCTGTTTCTCTGCCTGCTTGTGATCTCTGTCTGTCAAATAAATAAATAAAATCTTTAAAAAAAATTATCTATCTATTTATCTATCTATTTATTTATTTAGAGAGCACAAACAGGCAGAGGGAAAGAAGGAGAGGGGAGAGAATCCCAAGTAGACTCCACACTGAGTGCAGAACCCGAAGTGGGGCTCAATCTCACAACCATGAGATCATGACCTGTGTCAAAATCAGGAGTCAGATGCTTAACTGACTGAGCCACCCAAGAGCCCCAGATGGGGAGATAGTTTAAAAATCAATATGAATTTTCACTGAGATAGCTTCATCTCAAACTGAAAATGAGAGGCAATGAATCGCAGGTATTATTAATGCCAGAAAATGATTCAAAATTCCAATCAGTAGGTTCCAAAGAGCTGTGGACCCCCATCAAAAGATCGATGAATGAATGAGTATTTAAATGATTTATGTTATAATACAATATTTAAGGTAAATACGCATTGTTTTATGATAACCAGCTTTTTCTGTTGACCAACATACCATATGTCCCAGTATCTTGTAGATTAAGTGGGGTAAGTAATGTAGACGAGTCTCCTCATATATAAAATACAGAAGAAAGTCCCTACTCATAAGGCTGCCTTGAGGATTAGATAAAACTCTCCCTGTCAAGGAATACTTGCCACACAGTACAACACATTACTCACTGGCTAACACTGATGTGCTGGTGAGGGGTAACATAATAGCTGAAAGTAATGGCATCAGGAGCCAGTCTTCTGGACTCACATCCCAGCTCAATTACTTACCAGCTCCAGCGGCCTTAAGGGAAGTGACTCAACCACTCCTTGCTTCAAATCCTTCATTAGTAAAATGTTCATAACTCCAACCCCTAAGGGTTATCGTGAGAATTCAGTGAAGTAATAACATGTAAAGTGTTGAGACACAACAAATGCTTAATGTAATACATTTCAGCCAGTATTATTTCGTATATTAGTGGCTTTTCAGCAAGATAGAGACTTGTCCTTTCTTGCTTCGCCTGGGTGGCTCAGGGGTTAAGCCCCTGCCTTCCGCCCAGGTCATGTTCTCAGAGTCCTGGGATTGAGCCCCGGCATCGGGCTCTCCACTTGGTGGGGAGTCTGCTTCTCCCTCTGCCCTTGGCCCTGCTTGTGCTCTCTCCCTCTAGCTCTGTGGTCTATCTCTCTCTCTAATAAGTAAAGAAAAAAGAGAATTGTCCTTTCTTGGAGCACCCAGATATTTGTTATTACCTTTGGTCCTTTTGCCTCTGTGCTTCTTACCATCTAAACTGAACACAGAACAAAGCAATTTATTTATACAGACAGATCAACAGTGCCATCTAGTGGCAATTCGCCAAATGTGAAAGGTTGCCCAAAAATGGTAAAATTTCTACCGACAGAAACTTAATTTTTAAGACAAACTCAATCTAATGTTTTAAATTTGTAAATTTATAAATTTGTGACATTTTTATAACTATTTGAATTCAATACAAATACAGGTGGGAGAAATTTTTTTTCTTTTTTAAGATTTTATTTATTTATTTGACAGAGAGAGAGCACAACCCAGGTGCCCCAGGTGGGAGAAATTTAAAAAACCAAACCATAAGAAGATTGCTTGGCATATAGAGCAAAAAAAAAAAAAAAAAAAAAAAAAAGACTTTTTTTTAATATAAACCAAACAACTGGGCTTAAGCCACTGCCAAATTTTTTGGGACCAATCTGTCATGTTAATAAACCGCTCGGAATTAGAAATGTAAATTTCTGGGGCACCTGGGTGGCTCAATGGGTTAAGCCGTTGCCTTTGGCCTGGGTCATGATCTCAGGGTCCTGGGATCGAGTCCCGCGTCGAGCTCTCTGCTCAGCAAGGAGCCTGCTTCCCTCTCTCTCCCTCTGCCTGCCTCTCTGTCTACTTGTGATCTCTCTCTGTCAAATAAATAAATAAAAATCTAAAAAAACAAAAAAAAACAAACAAAAAAAGAAATGTAAATTTCTGGTGCAATTTGGACAGCACAAAACTTAGGTACTAAGGCATTAAGTTCTACTGCTGGATAAAGTATCCTGTTAATACCATAAAAAGATCTCATGCAATAGCACCATTGAGCTTTTGCTTTTTGCAAAATATACAGAATTCAAAATTACTGCCTTCTGTGCTCTACTGGCAGTCCTGACTGTAGTCAGTTGAAATAGGTCTGAATTTCAGAGCCACCATTTAATTAAAGAACACCAGTTGTCCAATAACACAGTGCAGATGTCAGAAACTGCAGTAAATTAACTGAGTAGTGATTATGTAAGAGCGGTCAGCCCTCTGATTCTCCAATCACTATGTAAATAGAGATGAGCATCAGTGAGAACATGTCACTGCCTTCCAATCTGTTGGGGACCGGTCACAGCTCATTCGTTATTCAGCTCAAACATAAGCAGCAAATCATCTCTCCTCCTTGTCTCCCAGCGAGCAGCTCATGTGACATTTCACAAAAGTAGATCACTGACAAAGGGGAGTAACCTATAAAGGTCACAGGGCAGTAAAGAAAATGCAGCAACACTGGAAGTGAAGTGAGATGTGGACAGAAGGTCTGGAAACAGGGACAACAAAGCAAAGAGAGCAGAGGCCCGGGCCCACCGGAAGGTAAGGACCATGAACGCAGAAGACAAGATGAAGCCACTTTGGGAGGATTCTAGTTGAGCGTAAATGGACTGTCCAAGAACTAGGTGATGCTGGAATGTTGACATGGTGCCCTTAGGAGCAATGTGGCTGTGAGCCACAGGAGCTTAGTGAAGGCCAACTGTTTCCCACAAATGAAGAAAGTTCTTGTGACAAAAAGGACGACAATATCCCAGAGTAAGTGGCACCAGCATAAAACATCACATTAAAGAAACTCTCAGGGATACTTCACAACTCTGAAAAAAACTACAAACCCCAGGAAGATCGCTAGGCAAATGATTACAAAGGACAAAATGGAAGCTGACCCAAACTTAGAAAGGGATATATAATCTAGTCCACCAAGGCACAGGAAAGACACCTGCCCTATACTATATTTTAAGTTACATAATGAGAAGAAGGCAAGTTACTGTTCAACTCCGCTGATCAAGTTTTTTGCAAAGAAATAACTTTAATTCTTAATGTTTCTAAGTTTACTTATTTTTTTTTTTTTAGAGAGAAGTGGGGAGGGGCAGAGGAAGAGGGGGAGAGAGAATCTTAAGCAGACTCCATGCCCAGTATGGACCCCTATGTGGGGCTCAATCTCACAAACCTGAGAGCATGACCTGAGCCAAAATCAACAGTCAGACACCCAACTGACTGAGCCACCCAGATGCCCCTCGAAGTTTTTGGTTTTGTGTGGTTTTGCTTTTTAAAGATTTTATTTATTTATTTATTTGAATGAGAGAGAATGAAAGTGAGCAAGCATGAGAGAGGGAAGGTCAGAGGGAGAAGCAGACCCCCCCCACTGAGCAGGGAGCCTGATGCAGGAGGTGATCCCAGGACCCCAGGATCATGACTTGAGATGAAGGTAGTCGCTCAACTGACTGAGCCACCCAGGAGCCCAGCCCCTCAATGTTTTTAATGTTTTAAATTATAGTATACTGAACAAATATTAGTTTTACTTTTTTTTTTTTATCTCCCTATACATTTATGAACCACAGTGAGTTAATGTCTTGGGAGAACATTTCAAAGGTCACAGAAGAGCTGTTATTTTTCCTATTGATTTTTAAGATCGGTTCACCTGGTTTCAGCTTACACACTCATTTTTATGGTCTCGCACTACTTTGTAAAGCGAGGACTGCATGTAATTTTTGCCTAAATTTTTCTTTCACAAGTTTCCGTCATTGTAAGCATAAGTCCTTTGGGATTTGTCAACAATTACATGCTAGTCTAATAGCTAGTCCCTTCATGAATGTATTTTCTAAATTACTTGTGGTGTCACGATACAATGTCAAAAGATGCCTTTTAACCTAAAACCAAAGCAGACATGTAGAAGAGCCTTAGGTACCTGGTAGTGGCAACTGAACTAATATACCGCTGACTCTTGGGTCCATATTCAGTTGATCAGTTATGTCCAAAAGTTCTTCCTGAGAAACATCCTTAGGTTTTAGAATGATCTCACTACAGATCCCTGGAAGAAAAACAAATATAGAAAGTCACTTGACTAACAAAGATGTGGTTTTCCATTCATGGTATCTTACATGATGTGCAATTGGTTTCCTCTCCTCCCGTCCGACTGGAAGGAAAGGCCCTTCTACAAAATGATGCTCAAAGCACCATTAAAAGGGATTTCTCACATAGCTCAGATGTCTTCTTATGATTCACATGGGTTCTTTTGGCCCAGTAGCCCACTGCATTTATTGGTGATAAACTAGTGTTAGTGGATTTGAATACAGTAAAGATACCAATACAGCAGAGTGAACTGGCCAGATTTATTATCTGATCAACCAGATATAATAAAAATGGGCCTTTTAAAAATAATCGCAATATAGTTGACATACAAGTATTACATTGGTTTTTCTAGGGTACAACTTGGTGATCTGACAAGTCTATTCATTTTGCTGTGCTCATCACAAGTGCAGCTACCACCTGTCACCGGACAACCCTATTAAAATACCATTGACCAAATTTCTTATGCTGTGCCTAAAAATGGGCCCTTTAAATGTGCAGTGTTCTCCTGACATGTCACCATAGGATCTGAAGTCACGCTAAGTGAATTCAGTAGGAAAGTTGAAGAAAAAGATTAAGAAATGAACATAAACTTTGGTAATGAATCTCTAACAATAATAGTTAAAAACAGTAAATGTTATTCAAATAGCACTTATTTGATAATTATCACTGATAATTATCACATTTGAAGTGTGATACTTCCAGAACACATGATTTAGTAACAAGAACAACGAAAATGCATCCCCACCTACAGCGGAGGCGGCTCTGATCTTCTTCCTGACGTACGTATGACTTGCCGGGTTATCCCCCACTAAAATGATACTGAGGTGAGGTCTTCTGTTCCCAAGGGAAATCCATGACTCCACACCTGCCTGTATTTCTTTCTGGATTTGTTTGGCCATTTCAGTTCCTGAGATAATAACGGCATTGTGTCTGTGGAAAACAAAAGAATAAGTACAGTACTAAAAATACAATAAGGAACTTTCAGTCACATCAAGGTAAGAGGTACAAGAGTGAACTACACATCTATGACTGTTCAAGTGAGCAGCCATCAATCAGTCCCAGAAAGGCACAAAGAAATGCATATACTGAAAAGGCTTTCTTGCTCTCTGTGATCTCAAAGTTAAAAGTGGTGAATTCAGGTTACTCTTACTATGTGTTCATTTTTTTTAAGGTACCTGATAAAGTATAAGATGGTTCTTTCTTCCTCCTGCCCCTGTCCTTTCACTATTGAAAGGTCTGGTGAAAGCAACATCTGTATGTAGCACATGATTATTTCACAAACACCAAAGGCAGATCAACGAATATCAAGAAGAAAGGAAAAGGAAGAAGGGGAAGAAGCAGAAGAGGAAAAGGAGAAAAGGAAACCTTATTGCACCTGAATTCTTTCCAGCACATGTACAGTTTTTATTTTCTAGTGGGAGCAGGCATCATGAGTATCAACCAACACAAACAAAATGCAAATTTGCTACCCCTTTCAAATAAGTCAACTGTCCTAAGAGGTTGGAGTATATATATACATATATGTATATGTGTATGTATATGTATATATGTGTGTGTGTATGTATATATGTGTGTGTGTATACCAAGAATATTCCATTTCAGTCTCAAGAATATTCAAGAATATTCCATTTCAGTCTGACACCAGTGATCCATAGTGTCCATCCAAGTTCCGACAATTTTGACATGAACATTGTTCTACCAAGAAGTGATTCTGAAATGTGGTCTATAGATACATACACTAAAATTGCCTGAGAAGCTTGATAAACTTGCAGATTCCTACCCCATGATTCAGAACAGTCTAGAAATCTGCAAGTCTAACAAATCCCCAGACATTCTTGGGCATAACCGTGTTTGAAAACCACTTCTTCATTTCAACACAAAAGTATAGTTTTGAAATAATCATTCCCATAGGTAAACAATTGAGGAAGTAAACTGATGAAACAATACTGTAGGTAAACTGAATTTTGTTTCTAATATATCTACTTTTCACTAAAAATCCCATAGCTTTCAAGTCAAGGAAAATTATGGCAAATTCAGTGTATCAATCTTGTTCCACTGTCCTAATTTTATAATAGCTTTATTGAAGTATCTGACATATATGGCACATATTAAAGCATGCTATTTGGTGTTTTACTATACGTGTTTACTTGGGAAACTGTCACCACAATCAAGCAAATGAAACCCTCAAAAGAATCCTGGTGCTCCATTGTAATCTCACCATTCCACCATCCTTGCCACACCCCCTTCCCTATCCCCAGGCAACCCCTGATATGCTGTCACTATACATTAGTTTGAATCATCATTAATTTTACAAAAATGGAATCATGCACTACATGCTCCATTTCATCCAGCTACTTTCACTCAGCATAATTAAGAGTCATTCATGTTACTGCATATATTGACAGCTCATTTCTTCTTATTGCTGAGTAGTTTTCCGTTGCATGGATATATCAAAATTTGTTTATCTGCTCAATTACTGATGGGTATTTTGGGTTGTCTCCAGTATTTATTCATGGCAAATAAAGCTATAATAAACACTCATGCACAAGCCATTGTATGCACATATTTTCTCTTGAGCGAATGTCTAGGAGCAGAATGGCTGGCTCGTATGTTAGGTATGTTTACATTTTAAGAATCTCTCAATCTGTTTTCCATAGTGGTTGTACCATTTTACATTTGTACAGGCAGTACATGAGAGTTCCAGTTGCTCCACATACTTGCCATAACTTGGTAAGGCTGGTCGTTCCAATTTTAGACATTCAGTGGGCTATGTGGTGGTATCTCATTGTGCTGTTAATTTGCATTCTCATAATGAATAATAATGCTATGCACCTATTCAGGTACTTACTTATCACCTACCTCTATTCTTTGGTGAACTGTGTAATTTCATGTTTTGCCTATCGTTCTATAGGTTGTTTCCTTATTACTGATTTTGGGAGTTATTCATACCTCCTAGGCTGAAGTCCTTTACCAATATATGATTTGAAATATTTTCTCCTAGTCTGTGCTTTGTCTTTTCATTCTCTTAATTGTGTCTTTGGGAGATCGGTTCTCAATTTTGATGTTTTTCATTCAGTTTTCCTTTCATGGAGCATGCCTTTGGTGATGTGTATAAGAAAGCTTTGCCTAACTCAAGGTCACAAAGGTTTTCTTCAATGTTTCCTCCTGGAAGTTTTATGGGTTCAGGTTACACATTTAGTTCTATGACTTAGTTCTATCACTAGTTTGATGGGACTTTATATCAGGATATTGTCAAATGCTTTTTTATGTGTCTATAGAGATAATTATAAGATCACATGTTTTTTTGGTTTTAGTCTGTTAATATGATGAATTACATTGATTTTCAAATGTTAAATCAATGTGGCATTCCTGGGATAAACCTCACTTGGCCATAATGTATCTATCCTTTCTAGATATTGGGGATTTAACCTAAAATTTTGTAAAATTTTTTGTATCTCTGTGCACGAGAGGTGTTTGTCTATTTTTCTTGTAATGTCTCTGGTACAGTGTTGGTATCAGGGTGATGCTCCCTTCACAGAATGAGTTAGGAAATATCCCATCTTCTTCAAATTTCCACAAGAGTTCATCCAGAATTGGTATTATTTCTTCCTTAAATGTTTGGTAGAATTCACCCATGAAGCCATTTGGTCCTGGAGCTTTCACTGTGGAAAGTTTTAAAACTGCAAATTTAAGTTCTTTAATATAGAGGGCTATTTATGGTTATCTATTATTTCTTGAGTGAACTTTTATAATTTGTGTCTTTGTACATTCTAATCATTAGTGCACAATTATATCATAGACTAAATCAAGATACAATACTTATTTCTGAGTTTAAATTTTTATCTTCAAGATTAAATAACAAACTTTTTTCACTATTTACTATGAATTTCTAGTACCCATATTTTACTAATTTATTTAAGTGACCTTTTAATTCTAAGAGAACTAGGTCCTCTTACATTAGAAAATACTAAAGGCTGCAGATATGGCAACCTATTCCAGCATGACTCATTTCTAAGAGGTGGTAAAAAATAAATACTTTCTGGGGCACCTGGGTGGCTCAGTGGGTTAAAGCCTCTGCCTTCGGCTCAGGTCATGATCTCAGAGTCCTCGGATCAAGCCCCGCATCAGGCTCTCTGCTCAGTGGGGAGACTGCTTCCCTCTCTCTCTCTGCCTGTCTCTCTACTTGTGATCTCTCTGTGTGTCAAATAAATAAAATCTTTAAAATAAATAAATAAATAAATAAATAAATAAATAAATACTTTCCATAAATTAAATTGTGTCAACAATATTCAGTTGGGGTAAAATACTATATAGAAGCAGGTTTATCTGCTAATATACTAGAATTCACTTTTATCATTAAAAACATGCATTTGTGTTTTAAATTACAAAATCACCTGAGCTCTATGTTACATTTTATAGCACATGCATAGAAATGCTGCTGCTGACATCTTTTATTAGCTGATTCTCTGTTACACACAGTAATTGGTTCATAGGCTACTGTGAAACTGGCAATCACAAACAAAATCCAGGATGATTATGCCTTAGAATATTAAAAAGCTGTGTGACCCTGAAAATGTCAGAGTTGGCAATGGCATAAACTCATTCCTCGTTTCCATAGAGACAATCTACTACAGATTAAATTTGACCGTACCCTGTACGTTGGGATCTGAGAGAATGACAGGGCTTACTTTATAGCACTGATGTGCTAAGTGAGCTTGCTAATTATAGCTGACATGTTAGAGCCTGGCTGAGTTGGTGTTTATGGGCAAACACCCAGGAGACTGCCACCCAATTTTAAATAGGAACTTTGAGGATTTTTCGTAGCAGCTGGCTCAGCCCATCAATCTCCTCAGTCCCTGCAGAGCCTCGGCAAGCCTGGCTCCGGGGGAGATAAGACATAAGGATAAACGAAGCAACCCGGCATTAGCGGAGGCCCAAAGTGTGGATGCCCATATCAGTCCACATGCTGGAAGACCAGCAAACACACATATAATCTGGCTCTCATAGTCTTCAGTGCATAAGAAAATGAGATTTGTCAACATGAAGATTGTTGAAAAATATTGACTATCAATAACAGTGCAAATATTCAGGCACAGAAGCACACAGCTCCTAAGAGTTCTCTCTGGCTCAAGTCAATCTCTGCCAATCCACTTTCCACACTGCAGCCAGAGTGGTTTTCCAAATGTAATCATGCCAGTTCTCTGTTAAAACTCCTTACTTCAAGCTCCTTGTTTATTAATTTAATTAATACCAACTGAAAACATCCAATCTACCAGGCACTATTCTAGGAAATATAAATAGCAGTACACAAATCAAACTGCCCACTTTCATGGGAACTATAGTCTAGATGAAGAAGACAGTTGTTTTTTTTTTTTAAGAAGACAAATTATTAAAAGGCAAATATTTAACATTTCATGTGTGAAAAACAGAGGGAAAGGGCATATCTGGAAGCCAGAGTTGTCATTTTAAGGATTTCATTCATTCATTCATTCAAAGAGAAAGTGGGCATAAGTGTGAGCAGGGGGAGGGGCAAAGGGAGACAGAGATAGAGAGAAGCTCCAGCAGACTCTGCTGAGCACAAGCTGACTCAGGACTCAACCTCAAGACTCTGAGATCATGACCTGAGCCAAAACCAAGAGCTGGACGCTTAACCAGGCACAAGGCTTAATTGTCATTTTATATGGATGGGTTAGGCGTCTCTTCTCAGATGAAACAGGTGATATTTTATCATAAATGAAGGAAATGAGAGAATATGTCATGTGGCTATCTGGACAAAATAATTCTAGGCCAAAGGAAGTACAGAGCAGTACTTTAGGCAGGAGTGTGACTGGCACAGCTGATGAATGGCAAGAAGGTTAGTGGCTGCCGTAGAAACAAATGTACCAGGACAGGACACAAGTCAGAGAAGTCATGGAACATCAGATCA